GTCTCTGTGGCCGGCATCTTCAGAGGACAGCACCAGAGCACAGAGTGCTGTCCTCTGAAGGTACCGGCAACAGAGACTGGCGAAACGTTAGGAAGAGCAACCTTCAGAACAGGGCCAAAGAGCCCGAAAAACCCACAACAACCATTCTAAAATGTATGTATTTTGTTACACCAAGAATAATCTGAACACCAGGAGGAAAAATGTGTGAACAATAAGCAGTATAAAAGGTAATTCAAATTCTGCGCCAAGAAAAGCTAGATTCTGTGACCTACGTAAATAATTCAAATCAGGTATATCTACACATTTGTGCTTTATTTACATACTTTATTCTGATTTTATTAAACATGTCGAGATGGGGAAAGGGATGCCTCAGGTGAAGCTTTACTTTCCAACACTGGAAATCTTACTCAGCCAGTCCTTTGAATTTTCAGCAAGTTTGCCCACATATTTTCAAATATAAAATCTCAACCTTTAGAGGAACCTTTTTTCCTTGAAGGAAAGCTAAGACTTTCAAGAAGCTAGCTGCAAACAGAACCATGTCCTATGTTTACTGGAAAACCATACAGAACAATTTTCTATTTGTAACAATTCCAGGAGTGCAAAAAAAAAAAAAAAAAAAAAGCCAAAATCCTCTTGTGGAATGCATGCATGTAGGATGGGGAGTAAACTCAGGAGTAAGATATAACTGAAAGTTTTAATAGCCAGAAATCACCGCCAAATCTCTGCCACCAGCCTGAGTCCTGGGAATTGTGATTTTTGGCTGTTCATGGCTCCTCCCCTCCATCCTGAGGCCCCCAAAGGCTTCTACGGGGCAATAGGAAGCCCTTGAGAGCCTCAGAACCAGAAAGGTGGGTGGGTGGATCTGGAAGCTTTCAATTAATTTAAATTATGCATCTTGCTTACCTGATGATGATGCCATCCTGTTTGCACAGCATGTTTGAATTCCAGACATAGGGTTAATACAGTTTGTCAGGGTTTTCTCTGGGGACTGAATAATAATAAAACTTATTACTTCACATTTATATTGTGATTTTTGAGCATTTTGTGCAATCCACGTGTTATTTAAGTAATTGTTACAATAAATCTGTAAATCTGTAAAGTAGCTTGATATTACTGTTCACCTGTTGTAAAGGGGGAGACAAAGGCTGAGCAAAGAATGAATTCTTTAGGCCTTTTTCAGGCCTTCTTCATGTTTGAATTTGGGATACCCCAGTTCATAGTGGGTGCTTTTTAATGCCTAGTTACTGTCAGTTCTGTCCCCAATACCTGTATCCAAGACACTCTTGATCCAAGCGCTGATAGAAATTAGGAAAAATATGCAGGTTTGTGAGGACAGTCTGTTCCTGAATTTATGAACAGCATCTGCATAGCAGTTTGTGTTGGGAAAAGGTCACCATAACATGATGATTTTGCAGAGATGGGATGCCTTTGAAAATTATTTTCCATGCCTTTCTAGATGTGGGTAATGGAAATGCTTGAGGTCATGCATTTATGAGACAACCTCCCATCCGTTTGCACAGAATGGTTCCATGAGAGTCAGGGAGTGTTCTAGAAACTGCCAGGCATCACATAGCATCAATTCGTATGGAATAGCATATCCTTTGGCAAGATTAGGTGGATGCTTTTGCTTGTATTTAGAAACATTTACACTGCTACATTTGACACTGGGGGAGATTCACCTACCCAACCGCCGACCAGACACTGTACGGTAGACACTTGATTTTTTCCACTGTAGTTTTCACATGTAGTTTGACTTGCTTGCTTGAAACACATAGAATTGTTGAGGTTTATTATTTAGTATGCAGATTAAATGAAAGTCAACACTTTGAACAATATTTTAAAAGTAATATAATGGGGGAAGAGCCTCAGAAGAGTAGAAGTCTAACTGTGTGACCTCTAAGTAACCACGCTGGACTTGGGAAACATGGTCTGAGGTTGGCTTGCCTACCATAGTTTGGCCGAACTAGGCTTTGGTTTGGGGCTTTGGATTCAGGGAGGGATAATTTTTGTAAACACAGATTTGGTGTAATACCTGAGTTATAGACAATATTTGGAGCTGCTGCTCTGCCTCAAAGATTATTGTTCTGTAGAACTTACATGGATCTGAGAGGATAAGCAATTGAGAACAGGCTGTCTAAAAAGTATAGTTTTGTGTGTTGCACATTTGGAAACTCAAACCAAGTTTAGTATGACCTGTCATGTGGCGTGATGTCTGAAATAAGCCTAAAATTTGCAGTATAGCTCCTGAAATTCTTTTGGCGTACCAGACGATATAAAGGTGCCTTTGGAAACCGTTCGGAAGCTTACTCTGGTTCAAAATGCAGCCGCCCAACTGCTGATAGGGACCAGTTTCAGGGAACATATAACATGCCTGCTTTAACAGCTTCACTGACTACCAGTCTATTTCTGGGCCCATTTCATTGTGCTGGTTTTGACCTATGAAGCCCTATGTGGTTTGGATGCAGACTGAAAGAAATAAACTGCTTGATAGCTTTGTGCTTTAGGCATCTAACTATGGAGCCAGAGGCTGGGAGTTCAATCCCCCAATGTCCCTCCTTGACAGGGGTTCGACTCGATCCATAGGATCCCTTCTGTCTCTGCAGTTCTGAAATGATGATGATGATAATAATAATAATAATGAAGATGATATCTCCCCATATGACCCTTCTGGCCACCTAAGATCTTTGTTTGGTCCCGTCACTGTCCTAGGTGTGTTTGTTGGGGACACAAGAGAGGACATTCTCTGTGGCGGTTCCCAGTTTGTGGCCTCCAGCCTCCCTCAGGAGGTTAGGCTAATTCAGGATCTATGCTCCTCTGTGTTCCAGGGGAAACAGAAAGAATACATAGAAGAAGAATTTAGTTTCTGAATTGAATGGTGACAGACACCAGTACAAGAGACGAGTTAGTCACTTGAATTCTTTGCTTTTGTGGGGGGGGGAGGGGCTGGGTTACCTTGGAATGGTGAACATCAGTTGGGGCTAATGTATTTGGCGAGTGTTTTACAAGACATGCCCAAAATATCAGTTGATGTGTAATGTTACTTAGTCACAGTGCCTTGGAATGCGTTTTGTTTATTGTATACTGATCTGTGGAACAGGCATTGGAGAAGTACTGGAGGGTCAGGTAGAAGTTCAAGCTTGATTCTACACTATTGTCAGATCTGCAAGTTCTCCTGCTCTGGACTGGGTTGCCACAAATTGCAATGGTCTCCAGCCTGTCTACCGAACATAGGCAGTCCCCCCCCACACACATAATGCTGGGATGAGTACCCCCTGTGGCCCAATCCACAAGCTGCCCTTGCTGCCCATTCAGTATTTGGTGAGCATTTGCCTTCAGCTGATGATACTCTGTGGCCTCCTTTGTGCAGATAAACCTTTGAGTGCTTTGTGTGTGCATGGTCCTATAGCAAGAATTTCAAAATCCATATTGTACAATACATATATTGCATTCACTAAAGGGCCAGGAAAAGTATAAGAATATCTGCAAGCTCTCAAGACTTTCAGGTGTCTTCTTTAGACACAAAGCAGGCAAGGCAAGTTGGGGGAATGAGTCGGTCTTAAAGTTCCATCATCTGTACCGTATCACCTGTTTTTGAGATATAATGATGAGATGAATTCTGCAGACTTTCAAACTGGATTGGTCACGTGTTAAGGGAGCATCCTGAATGTCCCCTATGGAGAAAGGGAACCAAATCACAAAACTTAGGTACTTTGTTTTGATGAGACTAACATCCCTTCCCCCGGACTCTAAACCACCTCTGCAAATCCAGTGCAAAGCTTATGGCTGCTTTGATGGTAGAGACCACAGAATCTCTTTCCAGAAAGAGTGAGAGCGAGAGAGCAGATCCTTAATTACTGCCTGATGTTTTGATTCAACCTTATGCCTTTCTGAAGCCCCCACAGGCCTGCCTAGCCATGTCAAACAGATGACAACTAGGTGGATCAAAGGGTGCTGGTAGGTAGGATGGGCATCTTTGCAATAAGCCACTGAAGGAGCAGTTGTAGGCTTAGCAAATTTAACGTGTTTCCCCCCCCCAACCCTTGCAGAGAGTTCTCCAAGGAGCGAGAGAAGGCAAAAGCCCGTGGTGACTTCCAGAAGCTCCGGGAGAAGCAACAGATGGAGGAAGACCTGAAAGGCTATCTGGACTGGATCATGCAGGCCGAAGACATCGAGCCTGATGAGGAAGGGGATGAGACCAATGAGAAGCACGCCCGTAAGGGTTAGGTTCTCCGCCTCCTCCTGGCGCCCCTGCTTTGAGAGAGAGCAGTGCCCTGCTGTTAAAGGGGAATGGTTGATTTAGCAGCCTGGATGCTGCCATCTGGGCCTTGTGGCAGCTCTGGGTGAGGGGATTAGAGAGGAATCATCCGAGCTACAGCGATGTAAGATTAGCGGGGAACCTGAGTAAATTGCCAGCTTGGGAAAGGATCTTGCTTAGCTGTGAGGAGTATGTGTGTGTGTGTGTGAGGGGGTGTCTGATGTCGGCCACATTCTGAGGCAAGCAGGAGGACCCCAGGAGTTGAAAATGTACTGGGGTGGGTGGGAATACCAATTGGGTGGCAAAAATACAGTATGTGAGCAGAGTGCAGTAACCTCTCTGTGGCTTCATTTTCTCTGCATTTTTTCTTTCTCTCCCCACCTTGTCCCTGGTTCTTTGATGAAGGATGGGCTACAGAGGTTGTGCTCTTCCCTTAAGCAGTAACGAGAATCAGCTAATTAGAAGCAGCTTGTGCGTACCCTTCCTCATAGCTATGAACTGCAACAAGGGGGAAAGGGCACGGAGTTCCAAGGGTACCACCCCCTGGCAGTGAGTTAATGAGTTCATTTGGAGTCCTTGTTAGTGGCTGAGGGGGAATCACTGAGCAAGTGGTGAGAGTAGCTCAGGCCAGGATGGCAAATGAATGTTTATGAGTGAACGCTGCTTTCCCTCTTCAGCCCATCAGTCTTTTCCCTCTGCAGTTAATTGAGGACAAGCTCTAGGAATCTCAGTCCTTCATCCCCAACTCCATCCCCTCCTCTGCTGTTAGAAATTGAGATAATGGGGTTCCAGGGTACTCTCATGCTAACCAGAACAGCCAGGTAGTCATCATTCACTTCCACCCAGTGTCTACAACTGAAATTGTTGTCCTCTTGTGAGTTTTCATATTGTTTCTCTCTAACATTCTGACAAGTATCCCTTTATTGGTGTTCGTTTTAATCATTCTTTCAATTTGCACAAAGGCACTTTTTCATGTTAATTTTTTTTTTCACAAGAGGTCTAGCAGAAGAGTAAAGATTGGTGGAAATCCTGTTCCTGTTAAGCTATGCCACATAAAGCTGGTGATGTCATCAGCCGCAGTAATTTATGGGCAGGAAAACATTTCTGATTTCTCCCCCAGATGTCCTAAGGCTCCCATGAAATCCTTTCACTTTCAGGAAACCATTGGAGGTCATAGAAAGGGGTTGATTACTGAAAACTGGCCCTGCCAGGATTACTGACTGTGGCAATTTTCAGTCATTGAAAACCTCCCTTTGCCCTGGTCCTGCCACCCCCAGTGGTTTCCTGGTGTTGAAAGAGATTACACTGGAGCCTCAGGGCTTTCAGGATAGAAATTGGAAATGTTTTGTTTCCAGAATATTGCTGCAGCTGTTGACATCACCTGCCTTATTTGGCATTATTTATGCTACAGGTGTTCAGCCAGTGAGCTAAAGCCACATGTTGCTTTTTTAGCCAGCCCCATTTTAGTATTAATTTTTTTTCTAGATTTGTTGGTAAGCAGTAGAACACTTTTTAGCCTGTCTTTTAAAGAATGTACAGAGTAAATTAATTCAAATAATTGCACAATCATGACTGAACAGAAATTCCTTTAGAGCAAGTTTAAAAATTGATTCAGAAGTTGATTTATGGAGAAATGGTTTTAATTTCATTTTATGTTCACTGCCCAAAGTAGTGAGCTTTCACTAGGTCAGGCGGTATATTATTACAGTATTATTATTATTGATTTGATTTATATGCCGCCCATCTGGCAGCCAGAGCCACTCTGAGCGGTTCACAACAAACAACAGAATAACAAAATAATACATATACAAAATAATAATAATACAGTTGGGGCATAAGTCAAACATTATAAAGTGTAGTAAAAACAAATACAATACCATAAATTACAGTCAATCAATCAATCAATCAATCAATCAATCAATCAATCAATCAATCAATCAATCAATCAATCCAAACAAACAAACAAACAAACAAACAAACAAACAAACAAACAAATGCTATATTTAAATGAATCATACGTTTCTTTTTCACATGGCTACATCACATCTATGAGCCCAGATGAAACTTAGTGGAATATATCTGCCCCAAAAGTACAATACCTCTTGAACTGTGGAACATGAACTGCAACTGTACATATAGGTTATAGAATTTAGGGCAGTCAGTCTGGAATCACTCCTAGCTCCTGGTTTCATCTTCATGCACAGCCAAGAAGCAAACAAGCTAGGAATTTGCGCTGAGGACTTAATTCCTCCCCTTTTTCTTTGCCATCTTTGTCATTGCCATCAGTTTATGTTATTCTTCGCCCACTTCCATTCACCCTTGTTCCTAAATAATTTCCTCTCCTGTTTATTCTTCCACTCATCCCTCCATCCTTTCGTCTATCCTTGCCTCCTTTATGGAAGGTGTGACGGTGGAAGACCTGACATCGAAGAGGAAGAGGAAATGGTTCAGACAAGGCAGCAGCCATTCCACCGACACTCACAGTAATTTTCTCATTTTCTTACATATGTATCCATGTTGATGGTCTGAGAAGTAGAAAATATTCTAAAAGTATTCCATGTTTCCATCCCATTCCCCATCTATGGTTCATCCACTGTCTGTATTGATTTCACTGAGTTTGCATTCCTGTGGTGATTATACTGACGACTGCTATTCTGATTTGTCTGCTATCTAAGGGGAAATCAGATTTTTCTTTCATTACGGTCATCGTGTTGGTAGTCTCTCTTCCCCAGTTGCATCATTAGACTCTGGAATCTGATCTGCCCATTGAGTTCCATTTAGTATAATATGCATTTTGACCTTCTTCTCCTTGATTTATCATAGGAGAGGCAGGATCCTGTGCAATTTCTAAACGATGTTTTCTTGTCTTTTACTTGAACAAGAGACTGTAGTTGAATAAGAGATTATATTATGTATTGCATCTACACTACACTCTTGGTACCACTGTAAGTGCCATGGCCTATCTATCCTACAGAATCCTAGGGGTTGTGGTTTAAATGCTCTGCTAGAAAGTGTTAGCGCATTTGTCTGAGAATATTTTCAGAAATGATTGTCTGTTCTGGCCTTGGAAATCTTTGTGAAGATTAATCTTTATAGCTGAGACAAAAAGCATTCCTCATTTTGTCTCCCTGTTTGTGGTGATGTAATGGGCAGATGATTCTATTTTATTTATCATTTAAAATATTTTTAACCCACCTTTATCCTTAAAAAGCAGCCAAGGCAGCTTACAACAATTAAAAGGCAGTAATTAAGATTAGTAACAATCAGCATATAATGCTAAAAGGATCAATGAATACAATACCAGGAAACATAAGCAATAGCAAGTTTTGGAAACTTTTCAGTTGACTTTTTTGGTCACTGTGTGAATTTACTCATACAGCCAAGTTGTATTGTTCCCAACAGCCATTTTGTTTTGTCCAGAATGCCTCTCAGAATTATGTTACATGCACTGTAGCATTACAGCTAAAACTCAATGGTGGTCAGCAGCACAGCAACATTATCATCAGAAGAGATGACAGCGCCACAAGTGTTCAGATCGCTGACCCCTTTCTCCCTCCTTTAAATTTAGCTCAAATGTTTCAATGTTTAAATGCACCTTTACGGTGAAGGTAAAGAGTAGCTGACTCATGACTCAGAGAGAGGGTTTTTTTTTTTTTTGACTTATATACCGTCCCATAGCGCTACAAGCACTCGCCGGGCGGTTTACAATTTCAATTATACAGGCTACACATTGCCCCCCCAGCAAGCTGGGTACTCATTTTACCGACCTCGGAAGGATGGAAGGATGGAAGGCTGAGTCAACCTTGAGCCGGCTACCTGGGATTTGAACCCCAGGTCGTGAGCACAGTTTTAGCTGCAATACAGCGTTTTAACCACTGCACCACGAGGCTCTTTATTCTATTGTGGCTTGGATGCCAAGCAGTAGACTCGGGTAGCTGCAGGATATGATGCAAAATGACGTTGCCATTGTTCTGAAAAATCTCATTCTTCCCTTCTCAGCCAGTCTTCAAGCCAGCGAAACCACATCTGTGAATACAGAAAATGTCGGGGATGAGGAGCACCATCAGGACAATTGTTGCGATGTGTGTCTGTGAGTTTGCCTGGCTAAAGGGAGTCGTGCTGGGACTGGGCTGGTGGATGGAGAGTCCGTACATTAATATACAATACACTAATGGTAACTATGTCCCTGCCCTGTGCTTCTGACTGGGCACTTGGCTGCACATCATGATTCTCCTGTTTTTGTGTCAGGTTTAGCATGCTTGAAAGTGATTGAAAAATATTTGACAACATGATGTACAGCTAAGTGTGCAGTTTTTTGGCTCAAAAATGCAACAGCTGTAAAGCCTGCGTAGCCCCCTTGACTGAGATACAACAGAGCTTACAACTTGTTTAAAAAGTTGTCCAGAGAGGATGCACACACAACAACCCAAAAACCACATGACTTTAAACCAACTTCAAAAACCCCAGTCCAGGTCAAAACCAGGCTTTTGGGAGGAAAAGGAAAAGCCTCCAAGTTTCTTATGGTGTTTAAATTCAGATTGTTATGATCAAGGACACTTCGGCAAACATTCCCTAAAATCATATTTAACATAACTAGTAACATAAGCTCCGTTGCTGCATTTGTATGTATTACGAAGTGTCAAACTTTACATTATAGAGAGAATGTCATTTGAAGAGAAAATTCCTTAAGTAGAGCTTTTCATATTCACCCCCTCCACCCTCCCATAGTTTCTAAGTTAGTCTATTTTGTTATGATTGTATCTTTTGGACAACTATGGGCTTTGTTTGTAAATCTCAGGCATGAAATTCTACCAAAATCATGTCTGCAACATTAACATGATTCCAGCTGCTAATGATGTATTATCTATAATGCATAGTTTGGCCCGCAGAAATACCCTTAAATATTTTACAGAGGAAGACAAGACACATGCTTTTAATAACCCAGTTCTATGGATTACTGTTTAAGGAGTCACTCACACTCCACAACACACTATTCCATAGCTCTAAAGACCATGCTTTCATTTCCCTGCATCCCACTTTTCCCTCACGTCTTTTCTGTCTTAACACACGCATATGCAGATAGATAAATCCGATCACTATTTTGAGCAATCCAAATCCTATTTCTTAGCACAGTAAATTGAGCTTGAATAGACCCATTGACTCTATGGGGATTTAGTGGGTCAACTCCTCTGTAAGTTCCATTGATTCAAATGGGCCTACTCTAACTGCATCTTATTTTAGCGTAGTCAGTCAGAGTTGGAGTAGTCCCATTTGAATCAATGGAACTTACAGAGCAGTTGACTCACTAAATCCCCATGGATTCAGTGAGCCTGCACTAGAGCAACTTACTATGTTAAGAAACAGAACAATGTTTATTGTTCTAGTGTTCTTACTTGCCCCATCTCCTTATGAAAACAGAGTATCTTTCCTTCCAGGATGTCGATTTTCCCCAAAGTTCACACCAGATATCATCTATGATTCCATCCCACCTTAAGGCAGCGCTTCTGTCTGTGTTATTTTCATTGTAAACTGGACTGTCTCTGTGTGTAGCAAATAATCTTGCAACTTCATTGAATAAAACAAGCTATTGATGCAGAACAGCCGTCCTGAAGGGGATAGAATGGATAGACTCTTTTCTCTTCTGCAACTCTAAGGTTATCATCCAGTATAGCTGTTTTTTCCTATTCTTCTCCTGTACCTTAAATAACAGCCTAATTTCTAGAAATGTAGTAAGTGAGCATAGAGGTGCAATGACAGTTAAAAGAAAAACGCACCTTCATTGTTCACGTCAGTGCATGAGCAGTATAAGTTTTTAAAAAGTTGGGAATCCTATTCTGGATTTGGAATATCTGTGAAATACAGTATAACATGTTGACCATGTCTATAGAATTCCTTTGTGAACAGCATACTTCTGCATACTGAATATGCTTGTATTGTTTCTTCATGGGTGATAGAAGGCTTTATTTGATTTCTTGTTAAATTTATCTCCCTTTCCACAGAGGCAAGCTCTCAAAGACCAAGTTCTGGTGAGTATAATGAAAGCCGCCTCCCCATCTTTTCTTCTCCCCACCCTACACCCCCAATGTTCCCTTGTTTTCTGGCATTCATCGGGATCTTCTGTCTGTTCTACCATAGCCGCCGAATTCGACGGGTCAACCGTCTCTTCCGGAAGAAATGTCGCTTGGCCGTCAAATCCGTCACTTTCTACTGGATAGTTTTGATCCTTGTCTTTCTCAACACCCTCACCATTGCCTCTGAGCATTACATGCAGCCTGACTGGCTCACGCAGATCCAAGGTGGGAGCACCTGATGTGGGAGAAATATAGGCAAGCTCCAGCAAGGAAGCCATGTCCAGGCATTAGGACTGCATAGAGGTGGGGGAGGGTCCTTGAAGAAGATCAGATCAGCCTTTGTGGTCAGGGCAAAGCTGAAATGCAGGTCCTCACTGTTTGACTTAATCTTTGTGAGACAGTGGGTTAAGCAACAGCAGGTTGCCTATGTTCTCTGCAGAACTGCTTTTTTTTTTTAAATCTCTGTAGTATATCTTTGCCTTTTCCAAAGTAATAAGTACTATACAGGTTTAGAAATGTTTTGCTGCAGTCTGTTCTTTCTGTTCTACAGCTTTCTATTTGTGTTACAGCTAACAACCGGCTTTTCTTGAAAATGGCACTCTTGTCTTTCCTCCACTTCCCCTCAAAACAGTGGTTCCCAGCCTTGGGTAACCCAGGTATTCTTGGACTGCAATTTTAAAAAAAACCCAAACCATCACAGCTGGGAACTGTAGTCCAAGAACACCTGGCTTACTCAAAGTGGGGAACCACTGCCTTAAAAGATTGTGTGACACAACACTCTCACCTTGTGAATTTCTTCACCCCCTCTTCTGCCTTCAGCCACCCGCCTGTACTGATTTTGAGCCTTTGTTATATTATCACCATTTCACTGATGTGGAATAATGTTGGTCTTACGGGTTTGACAGTGCTTAGTGTATTGTATGAATGAACGTTAAGCGATAGGAGCAGTGGCTTGCCCAAAGTTACTCTAAAGTCAAATCACCACTCTGTTTTCCCCTCAGTACAGGAGATACCAAATGCTGTCCAGGCTCCTACTGTATATGTATACTGGTATAATTATAATGGTGTAAACTGTGGTGGCAACTTTGCCCTGATTTATGAGTTGTCACTAACCTTCCTGGCCATGCACCATGTTGCACAACTCACAATTCGGAAGGGAAGCAGCAACTAGCTAATTATTGACGATTCGTCACAGAGATTTATACCAGTGTAAACCTATGATAGGAATCTGACCATTTGTTTCACCTGTAAAATGCCACAGATCTTGGCACACAATTTAATAGACTTCATTTTGTGCTAAAAACGGAAACACATACATTACCTATATTTTAGTAACGTTTTCTTCTTCAGAGCAACACCGCCCATTTGGGAAATTCAGAGTTCTAGGCCTGGTAAAATTGTTGACCACCATCGTCATATTAAGAAAATCATTTAAATTTTTTTTTTAAGGTGAAAGATTTATACGATCTGAAGAGAAACCAGAGTATTTTTTTTTAATGACAGACTGGATAATAAATGGGAACTTCTTTATAAGTGGATGAAATCTACATCAACTTAAGTAGACTATATTAGATCAATACTATGTTAGAGAGTATAAAATAAGATTAAATGAATGGAATATATTGTAATAAATCACTCTGGTTGCAACAGATCGAAAAGTAGAAAAAATACAATAAAATATTTAAAAACAAGAAAACCATAGGCTCTAGGTTAAGGCCTTGTTGGACCACTTGACAATCTAGTCCTCATCAGAATAATCTTAATCCCCAATGGCACAAGAAATGTATCAAGTATGGGAACAAATACAGATCTTTTTGCCTGCCCTGCAGCCTTTCTGCAGATCACTTAAACGGAGTTCTCACACCATCCAATCTCGGGACTTGTATTTGAAAAGCTAAGCAGGATATCTTTCATCCCTACAGCTTATGCCAACAAAGTGTTGTTGTCACTATTCACCCTGGAGATGCTGGTGAAGATGTACAGCCTGGGACTGCAGGCTTATTTTGTCAGCTTCTTCAACCGCTTCGACTGTTTTGTGGTGTGTGGTGGCATCCTAGAGACGGTCCTGGTCGAATTTGAGATCATGGAGCCTCTTGGGATCTCAGTGCTCCGCTGCGTCCGCCTCCTGCGGATCTTCAAAGTCACCAGGTGAGGTGCTGAGCACTGGGTGTGGATGAGACCTTTTCCCAGAGTTTTAATGTATGCAATGGCTGCTGCAAGTCTAATACTGCTTCGGTGAGTGGTGAAAGGTGTCATTCTTGGTGGATGTGATCAGAATTATTATTTAAATGATTTGTTGTACGTTTGGCCTGCTTTCTCCCAAGATCTCAGACCAGGTTCTGGTTTCTTACTGCCTCTTTCTGTGCCTGAGTGTATGAATTAGAGAGAGAGAGCGAGAGAGCAGGATGTGGAACGTAGAGATGGAAGGAATTGTTTTTCAGAAAGGCTTCCTTTCTAAATGAGCACCAACCACAGATCAGATTATCACTCTCTTTCTTACACGTTTTAAACACAGATTTATTATGCCTGTACTAGGTTTCACTTCTCTAAGTAAAATCCTATAGTGGTCTAGTTAAAATTAAGCCTCTACTTAGAATTAAGCCTCAAAAGGACTTTCTCCTGAATCAGTTACTAGAGTATTTCAACCCATATCATTCTTGCTTCCAGTGGCAGAGAGAAAGATAGAGCATTTTATAGGTTTAACAAGTGGAATGTTTAAAATTTAAAATGGGCAAAGAAAACTCGGTATGAATTTTCTGGAAAATAACCTGCCTCTTTCTTGCATTCTAAGAATGAATTTGTTCCTGTGAATTGGACTAAACTCAAACTCGATGATCTAATAAAAATATTGCTGTAGCTGGTTTCCCACTGAGATGGCTTCTAGCACTCAATCTGCTTAGCTTCTGTGGTGGAACTGAGGGTATACTAGACTATACAGTATACTAGACTATGCTGAATTTGAATCACAGCATGTGTTATGTTTGAAATTGCAATCAGTGCTCATGCAGCAAGCTGCAGGTTGATTTCAGAGTTCCCCCTCCATTCCTTCTTTGATCTGGTCCTGCCTCTGCCAATTCTTTCCTTCTCTGTTTCTACCTAGGCTGACCCCTAGAGGGTTGCCTCCCAAACTGTCTTTGACCCACATCCCTCTCTGATTTATCTTCCAGGCATTGGGCCTCACTCAGCAACCTCGTGGCCTCCTTGTTGAACTCCATGAAGTCCATTGCTTCCTTGCTTCTCTTGCTCTTTCTCTTCATCATCATCTTCTCCTTGCTGGGCATGCAGCTCTTTGGGGGCAAATTCAACTTCGACGAGACGCAGACCAAACGCAGCACTTTTGACACTTTCCCCCAAGCCTTACTCACGGTCTTCCAGGTAAGAGCAATGTGACTGCAATGCGAGTAGGGCTTGTGCCCTTGGTTGGCAATGTGGGGCCCCACAGAGAGCCAGCCTCATGGTCCTTTCTACCTTGCTAATTCCCGTGTCAAGTCAGGAGACACTCTAAGCTTGCCGAGACTATTGAAGCTCCCATTTTGAGTTGCTTGAGAGTAGTGCTTGAGAGCTTTCAAGATCAAGTGATACAGCTTGGTGGTCATGGGGAGGCAGGCAGAGAACCTGGTGGCACCCATTGAGAGCAAAGGATCAAAGGATGACTTGTCCAGTGAAGGCAAAGGGCCACCTGACAGATCAAAGGAAGAGCAAGGTGACAACAGAGAAAGTAGAGTGAATTCCAGAAATTCAAATGTAGGTTGTCTCCCTTGATTCTGGCCCTTGATTCTGAAGGGCCAGAATCAAGGGAGACAACCTACATTTGAATTTCTGGAATTCACTCTACTTTCTCTGTTGTCACCTTGCTCTTCCTTTGATCTGCCAGGTGGCCCTTTGCCTTCAATGGACAAGTCATCCTTTGATCTTTTGCTCTCAATGGGTGCCACCAGGTTCTCTGCCTGCCTCCCCATGACCACCAAGCTGTATCACTTGATCTTGAAAGCTCTCAAGCACTACTCTCAAGCAACTCAAAATGGGAGCTTCAATAGTCTCGGCAAGCTTAGAGTGTCTCCTGACTTGACACGGGAATTAGCAAGGTAGAAAGGACCATGAGGCTGGCTCTCTGTGGGGCCCCACATTGCCAACCAAGGGCACAAGCCCTACTCGCATTGCAGTCA